CAACTCCAACATAAACCAACAAGTCTCAAATCAATATGGCATGTCACCAAATAATCAGCATAACAACAAGTCTCAATACAATAGTCATAACAAGAGAGTCAGGCATAATCATGTAAAATAGCTAAATCATAAGCATGCATCAGTCAGCTCAACTCCGGCCTCCTACCGCCCGAGGTCTCAACCCCCAAGGTACCTGAACCTGAAAATATGCCCCAACACAGGGTGAGATCTATAAAAAGAAATCTCAGTAAGACAAGGGGTCCTCAAGGATCTCTCCACCCCAAGCTCACTTACATGTGCAATATAAGTTCTAAAGCAGTAAAATAGTTTAAGTTCCAAAATCTGTGCAATGCAGCATATATCCATGTCAAGTGTGTCAATATCCTACTGGCCAGAGAACAAAATGTAGGGATTACATACGTCCACAACCTACAATACCAGGAACCCGCATGTACCTCACCCACAGAATCACCATCTTGTATGTCGCCACATACTCAGGCTTACCATCTAGGTGGAACACCATATACATATCATATGGCACTTATACTCAATATCACAGCTCAATAGCATATCAGTAATCATTTCATAATTTTACAAAAACATAGCATGTATATAACCATCCCTCCATGAGGTATGGTGGAACCAACAATGGGCAAAGCCGAGGACACGAAAAGTTACCTCTTAAGCGATCAATCCCAAGTCAAGAGTCCACAACAGACCACAGTCACCAAACAGCCCACAGTCACCAAACAGCCAACTCACGATCTGTTTAATAATAGAAACATTATCAACATTCCAACTCTAGACATTAATTACATTACGATAACGTTTCCTTTTTCGTTTACATCTTTTCTAGTTCATAATTATCAAGCATTAAGCCCCACAATTAAAGGTATTACTGTTTCCCAACAGTAACACTGACTTCCTAGGGCATCATGCCCAAATGAGGACTTTTCCACGCATTCAAAACTGGTTTCTGGTCATTCTGACAGGTGGTAATCGATTACTGCACATGGTAACCGATAACCAAAACAGAGTAATCGATTACTGCACATGGTAATCGATTACCAAGTGAAAGGTTCAGTTTTTCTGCATAATCCGAAGTGGTAATGGCTTCTCATGATTCAAGGTTCGGTTTTTCATCAAAATAGATGTTCAACACTACTTATTATAGATGGATTAACCACTTTTAACTTGAATCATTAAAGTTCCCTCTTTTAGTGACTTAAACAAGCTAAAATCGAGAATTTTCAAAAGGAACGATCATGGTATACTTATGGCTCAAGAACTCATAAACAAACAGGTGATTTGGAGCCCTCAACACAGCTCACAAGTTTTGACTTTGTAAGGCCACGAATTTGATCACCAAGCTTGGCCCTTTATATCAAAAGGTGGCTTCTTGAAACCACAAATGGCATGGAAATGGCCTCCTCCTCAAGAACTCAGAAACTCAGCCCTCACACACTCCAAACAGAGGCTACAATCTCAGAAATGCCAAGTCTCTCACCCTCCCAAGGCTTGAGCACACTCGAAAATGGAGGTTTAGTGAAGGAAGTAAGAGAAAATGTGATCTCTTAGGGCTTCAATGGAGGGGAGAAGGTGGAGGAAGGTGGCTGCCACCAAAAACTCAGAAAATGTCACGTAGAGGGGTGAGAATTCTGACCTAGGGCCTTGTGCCCATGTATTTATAGGTGCACTTAAGTTTAATCCCATTGTATTAACACTAATAGCTACGCTTATCATTTTAATCTCAAATTTCATATTCTAAATCTAGCCATTTTACTAAGATTTTTCATATTTTAATTTTAATTTTTAGTAACACTTTTCCGGTACGCATTTTCACACTGCCGGTATTAGTTCTGACACCAATACTCATTATTATGACTTCAAACTTGATATTCTTGACTTAAATATTATTCTAGGAATATATACATACTCTTTATAATTTTTCGGGATACTTCACTGGTACGCACTTATACCGTGAAGCAGAACCGGTATTCGCACTTTTCGTCGAAAAAACGACTTTCAGCAATATTAAGCACTTACTATAATCATTTAAATCTTTTAATAATTATTCAAGGTCAAGTATGAAATTCTTTCCTAAACTCATAATTAATTATTTAAATTCCTAATTTAACGGTGCGGGTTCTTACAACATAGATGGACATAAAAAACATTTTGTTATTATTCTCTTGATGCCCTATTTTGCTATAATAAACATTCAACTCAATTTTGGGCTTGACTAAGGGTGCTATATTAAAAAAAAAAGTAGTACATAATATACATAAAAAATTATGTTATTATTCACTTGACATGAATTTTATCTATTTTTAAATAAATAAAATATAAACAATTTAGATTTTTTAAATGATAATATATGTAACTTATGTTTTTTTCTTAAATATTAAATGATAATTACGTTGTTTCTTTTTTTCTTAATGGTTAAATGTTTGAAATTTAAAAAAATAATATGGTATTTTTCATAATTAAAATTAGAAATTTAAATACTTAATATTTTTAATAATTAAAATTAAAAATGTAGGATCTTATGATCCGTGCCAATTCAACGATTTATGATTTTCTTAACCCCTTCTGATCTTTCATAAGACTCAACTTCATCACAATTATATTAATATATCAATATTCATGTTTTAATTTTATTAATGTATTAATATTATAAATAATCATACCATTTCATTTTATTTATGTGTAGTATAAATTAATTATACCAATTATATGGACTATACTGTTGTAAGAACCCGAATCGTTAAATTGAGATTTGAGAAATTTAATAATAATTAAAAGAGAATTATTAGATGGAAAGTTTAATTGTTTGAAATTAAATCACCGTTTTGAGAAAAGTGTGAGAAGTGTCATTTTGGGGTAAAACTGTGAGTAGGGAAATTACCTGAAAACTTAAAATAAATAAAAGTACGATTTTAGAAAATTATTTAATAATTTAATTAGAATGAAATTATAATTATTTAAATTAAATCATTTTTCTGTGAAAAATGTGGATAATGTTTGTTTCACGGTAAAAATTACAATAGGTAAAAGTAACCGAAAACCTAAGAATAAATTAGGGGTTATGACTCCATAAAATTTGTGAAGTTAAATTGACAAGAGAAATGCATAAGTCAAATAATCCATATGTTAAGAAGAAAATAAAATTTAAATGAGTGATTTAGGTGTGTAAATACTTATTAAGTTAATGAGGCGCACCTAAAATAACCTAGACCTACTATCTTCCCTCTTTTTTTCATTTTACAAAAGTCAAGACAACAGCCCCTACCTCCTCTCTTAGGGTTTCATCTTCTCTATGAAACTAGCAAAAAGCACTCATCCATCCTTCTTTTTTCATCAACCCACCATGAAAACAACCTAAAGTCTATAGTTTTAGGGAGAAAAACTCCATCTTAGGGAGTTTTGGTTGTTGGTTTTGGTGTTGAGAGTGACACTCCTCCATTGTTGAAAGCTTGGACACTTGTTCTTGCTTGGGTGAAGCTTCTTGGTAAAAAAGACATGAACTTTCTTTAGATTTTCGTAATAAATGGCATAATATAGGTTAAATGTTGAGTCTTGAGGTGGTTTATATGTTTATAATATGAGAAAACATTGATTGAGTGTTGAAATGATCTATGGAGATGATTGTAAACTTTTTTTGCAAAGAAAAAGCAGAGTTAATCGTTTTTATTAAAAGAAGGGAAAACATAATTGTAATTGTGGTTTTTCTGATTGAACACATTTTGTATTTCATCCATTTCTTGAGTTGTAGACCTTGAATTTAAACAAACTTTAGCGTTTTGAAAAGCTTAGAAGTATACCTACAATTTTTATGAGGGGTCGAATTTGATATTGTGGTTAATGGTCTGTAAATTGTGCCCAAAGTCCTTGGGGCAGTGCCGTTATGAATTTCGAACCTGCTTCAAAACTTCAGCTATATCTGAAGCTACAAATATCGGTTTGTCCCATTCTCAAGTGTTTTGAAAAGATAAGACTATAAGATAAAAAATTTATGCAGAAGTCGAAATCTAATTTTAATGTCCGAGTAACTTAAATTGGTCATAAAGTTAAGACAGTGGTGTTGTTATATTCACTAAGCAGGAACATGTAATAAAATGGACATAACTTGAGCTAGAGAGCTTCAAATTGAGTGAGGCTTGAACCTATGTAAAGCTAACTCAAAGATATTTAAATATAGAAAGTTTGGGAATTTTCACATAAGTAGATCAATCCCAGTTTGTGTTCAAAGTCACTGCTTTGCTTTCAAAAGCCTGATTTGTAGTAGTATGTTTGCGAAAGAAATAACCTGTGTTATACCAATCCATTTAAGACATATAATATGTCGATGGAAAGTTTGAAATTCCTAGTTTAATATAGAAAAAATATTAGAATTTATGATAAAGAGTTGGAATACAAATTTTAAAAATGGTAAATACGGTTCAGTGCCGAATACGCCAAAAGTGTAAGCTATTTGGATTGTTATTCAAGGAAAATGTTGTAATGAACATGGTAGATTAGTGTATGTGCTAATTGTCTCTACATCTGTGGAATAGGTTGTGACACTATCTGTAACACCTCGTAATACTCCGTTTGTTAACATACATGATATTTAGCGTACATAGGGGAAGACTTTATTTTAAAAGAAAATTATTAAAACGTCTTATAAAAATGCAAGTAAACTTTTTCCAAAATATTTTCTAAAGCATTTTCAAAGCGTTCATCTGATATGTTGCATTCGCGTACATTAACATCTAATTCTACTAATTAAAACCATTGGCCATCACTGGTGGCCGTTGACCATCCGGATATGACCTCAAGTGTCATTCTTGACGGAGTCTCACGGACAACATAACGACTGTATTTCGGATAACTGGGAACATGAGTCCCACACATACAATAACCTGATAGATACAATAATTAAACAAATAGCTCACAAGTCCCACACGGACTGCGATCCGCTCTCGGGTCAATACAGACAATAAGGCTCCATGCCCAAATAACGGAAAACATACATCAAGTCTATATTAATTTCAAACGCGTCTAAGCATCGGTAAATAATTCATGGCTCCAATACTACAATCATGAGCCTAAATAAATACATAGCATAATCTCAACATAAGATAATCGAATATGTTAATAAATATACATGTCATCATAGAGTCTAAACATAATAAAGATAAATCAGCAGCGTCATCCACTATTCCAAGGCGGGGGCCTTGCCCCTAGAAGCATCACCACTACTCTGGGTACCTAAAATGATGTCCCTAAACGGGGTGAGATAACACATCTCAGTAAGCTCAAGATTCATAGAGGATCCTCTAATCCCCTGAGCTCACTTCCTGCATGACAAGTCAGATATAAAACATATAATACAGGCATACAACATAAAGATAGCATCATCATATCGAACCTACAAGATGTTATACATCTTCAAATGGTACCAAATTTTGACACCACATAGCTAACATCTCAAGCTTCAAAATAATATATGGCACATCCCTATAGGACCTCTGTGGAGGGAGATATGCTCTCCCAAAGTTAGCCTAAAAACTGATCATTTAACCCTAAGTGTGTTTAATTAGCAAATCCTAATTATCTTTGGTTAGAAACTCTAAGTCACTTTAATTTTAGGATTTTTCTATTATTAGGTCAATTATGCATTCCCACATGGTCACCTTAAATCTTAGTTCATTAGGTTCACTAATTACATAATTAGTGCTTCTAAACCCTAATTAAGTCCATTTTAGGATTTAATAATTAATTAGTGTATTATGCATAGTCCACCTCACTTAACCACTAAATTAATGTCCTACAAATTTTATGAAGGAGTTGAAATCTAATTTTAATGTTTGAGTAGCTTAAATTGATCATGAAGTTAAGAGAGTGGTGCTATTATATTCACTAGGCAGGAATATGTTGTAGTAAAATAGGTATAACTTGAGCTAGAGAGCTCCAATTGATTGAGGCTTGAACATATGTAAAGCTAATTCAAAGATATTTAATTCTGGAAAGTTTTGAAATTTTTACATAAGTGGATCAATCCCAATTTGAGTTTAAAGTAGCTGCTCTGCTTCCAAAAGCCCGGTTTGTAGTAGCCGGTTTGCGAAAGACATAACCTGAGTTATGCCAATCCAATTGAGACATTTATATATTAATGCTAATGCCTAAAAAGGGATGCCAATGTGATAGGAGAACCTTGCCTCGAAAGTGCTTTGTTTAGAGGACTTTACTCTTCAAAATATAATATGAACCCCTCAGTACCAAAGTAATATGGATGCAATATTGAGTGAGTGGAATACCAAAGAAAAGATGCCATGTGATGGAAGAACTTTTGTTGGAGGTAACATATGAACATTCCAGGGATGGACGAGTGTACTGAGGGATGGTTTGCTGATTGTGATTATAAGCATTGCATTGTTATACATATATTGTATTATATTTTTGCTTATTGCTTTATACCTGAAGTGAACTTAGGGGCGAAAAAATCCTTTAAGGACCCCTAGTTTACTAAGATTTTTTCTCACCCTGTGTAAGGACCATTTTTCAAGTACTATAAGTGATGATGTTAAAGCATCTCGTGGTGTGATACCAGGATAGAGATCAGTGCATGTTATGACTAACATTTGATACATTATGCTATGTTTACATTTGTTAAAAGCATAGAGGCTGTCTATTCCATTTTGAAATAATCTTGTTTAATGTTGTTTGAGAACATGTATAAGCATATGGCATTAAATGTGTATTGTTTTGATTATATATTGCAATGACATAATTAATTATGTTGTCTATTAATTAAGACAATGTTATGTACGTGAAAGCCTACGCAATGGATTTTTAGGAAATATCATTTAGGTATGTATGACATGAATGAAATTTGATAACTTAGATACCAAGAAATGCACATTCTAAGTGATACATTAAGCTTAAGGATGTTCTCTTGTAATACCTAGTTCATGAAATATGTAGGTAAGCATGTATGTAGATTGTAAATAAGATAATTGAAGAACAAGTAATGTACATTACAATTAACTCGACATGCAAGTAATTGATCACAAATTAACATAGAATGAAAAAAGTTTATCTGCATTTCCACTTAATAATTTTAACGTTATTTTCACTGCTCGTAACTAAGACTAAACTGCGCTTAATATCATTTTGATGATAATTCACCGGATTGCACACAAGTATTACAACTGTAGCGCTATTCACCATATCATTTTGGAGGTTCGCTGCTACTGGCCGCTATCCGCTACTAATAACCATGAACTTAACGGCACATGTCATATTCTTGACCTTTAGTCATGAGCAAAGATGATAGCAATAATTGGCCAAAATCACATTAATAATAAAGCAACCAATTCCGAGACTTATTATCCAATATATTCCCAAAGTCAGATTCAATAGCCCAACTCATTCCCCTGACATTTTTTAAAGTAAACAACTCAAGTAAGTCAATATAAATGCAAAGGGTATCCAAATTCAACATCACGTTTGAAAAAAAAAAAACAGCTAAATGCAACACGTCATACCATAAGAACAGCCCGTGTTGTACAATTGCACTGATGAACAGCAAGTCAATGCCAACATGTCACGATTCACAGTTCTCCATCGAAAGTAATCTCACTCTCTAATAGGACCAACAGTATACATGCCACTCAGTTCGCACATACCAATGGCTTCTCTAATTGTGGGTTAAACAAACATATGCATAAAATTTCAAGAAAAACCTAAACCCCCAAATCATAGACCCGAACTCAATAGCCCAAGACACAATTCAGGTCCATGGTACAAGCAATCCAGCCAACAAAAATCGTAATTAAGCTTTCAACACGGAATTACCATGACCAATTGCCTATATACATAGGTAATTCAAAAAGCCCCCAAATTCAAGAATTATGGGAACCTTAAACCCCACCCGTAGGAACCCAGCATAAAATTCTACTCAATCCACAAAAATCTATCATGCTTTATTGTCTACTACTCCATCATTCCATCATGTGGCCAATTGAGAGTTTCATGTAGCCAATTGAGAGTTTTAGCGATCAATTTGTAAAATTAAAGCAAAGCAACGAAAACCCACAATTTTTACAACCGGAACAACAATTCTGGTTTCAGGAACGAAAAAAAAAAAAACATATCGCTATCAAAGCATCAGTTGATCATGATTACACACAACCTAGGCATCCAATTTGAGTTGGAACCCTAAGCCCCAATTTCATGAGACTCTCGGGGGTATATTCCCCAACCAATCCAAGAATTCATTGTGTTTGCACCTCACCTATGCATTCAATTGGGATTTTATTAGATTAATTCCATGAACATTCCATCAAAATTCAAAAACCCCAAAATCCCAAGCAAGAACCCTAGATTCGCATGAACAGTCCCTATTCTAATTGGAATGGTGTGGAACACCGGGAATAAGGTTATATTTCTTAACTTCTTCAACAACAAACCCAGCCAAATAACAAAGATTCAAGCGAACAAAACAGAGAATGGGTACTTACTTACCTTCGGTCCTTGTGCGATGGAGGAGGAAATTGTGTGCATTTTAAGCGTTTTAGCTCATAAAGCACATAATTTTGTGTAGGAGTGTAAATGAGTTATATATGTTAGGCCAGACTTAGTCTATTATAAATAGTAAAATAGAATAGGTCTAGGTTTTTAAAAAAATTTATTTAAAAAATGGGAAAAAAGTTTCCGATGTTACTTTAGATAACTTTATCTAATGTTCATCGAAACGACGTCGTTTTGGGGTTGAAAAATTAAAAAATTAGAGTGATAAAGACAATTATAACCTTGAAATAAATTAAAATTACAAAAATACCATGATTTCCGTCCCAAAAAGACGTCGTTTTGATGAACATTAGATAAAGTTATCTAAAGTAACATTAGAAAAAACAAACCCTTAAAAAATAGGTCATAGGTTTTTTTGTACATGTTAGGCCTATAAATTTACAGGTCGATCTATATCATATTATTTATTTAAAATATAATAAATAAAATTATTATTTTAATAATTTTGAATAATAAAATAATATTATTTTAGTTATTCTTTTAATCGTTGAATGTTTAATAGGCTTAAGCAGGTCTAGCCAAAACTTTTATTTTTTAAATACAGGTCAAGAATAGGCTTAAGCAAGTTTAATAGGCTTAACCAGACTTGTAATTTGGGCTATACATAGACTAATAGGTCAGGCTATATCCAATATTTTTTGTATAAGTTCAACCTATTTAAGTCAAAGTATAGTCTAACTTATTTACCCACCTAATTTTGTGTTTGTGCGTTTTAACAAGTAAAATTTATAATCTATGAGATGTGCAGATATCATCCAAAAAGAGGCCTAGCATGGCAGAAGTGAGTTGTTTAAGGGTAGTAGAAGAAAGGATATTCCAAATTTTAAGTTACAAGAATGGAGACGAATAAAATGATACCCACAACAAGATAATTACTTGGCATGCATGTGAAATTAAATTTAATATAGTTCCTGTATCCAAAAAAAAATTAATATAGTTCCTCCTGTTTATGAAAATGATATGGATATTTATTTTAAGAGAAGGGATATTCTCAGTATCAAAATTTTTTACTATCAACTTACTATTTATTTAATTATTATTGGATTAATATTTTTTTTTTCTTCAAAAACTTTTTAACATTCTCTCTCTTTGATCCAATGATAATTAGATAAATAGTAAGTTAGTAATGAAAATTTTTAGTAGTGAGGATATTATCCCTCTTATCTTGATTGTGGAGTTGTAATTGCACTGTGTTATGGGCCTAGGTAACCTTTTTGAAGTTATTATACATGTAGATGTAGCTACATATAAGGAGATATAGTCGGTTCTCCATGAATTTAACAATGTCAACGGCTACAAATCAATTATTTTGGTAGATCTTTTAAGAGGACCCAAAAAGTCTCTGTTTTCCTCTTCTCTGTGTTTTCGAAGAGGGAGATACTTTAGCTTTCCTAGGAGCTGAAAGCCATTGTTTTCATAATTAAACAATTAATAATGCATGTCACGTTTCATATTCTTCAAATTGTGAATTGCTTTTGGGATCCCGTACAAGGGATCTCACGGATTGACATCACCACAAGTGGGATTAATATCACATTTCAACTTAATAAATTTATTGAAACTTCTCTTTCAGATTCCCAAAGTGTGCGTATGTCTCTTAACTCTTATATATGGGTTAATATTACGAAAAGTGAAATCACAACTATTAGCTTAAGAAAATGAATATTTTTGTACTTATATGATTTTCACCTATATATTCCATTTCTAATCAATGTTCGAGTCTCACTTAATTTCATTTCCATCAATTAGACAAAGTATTCTTTTACTCTAGTTCTCATATACGTTTGAGTCATGTAGGCCTTCGAGACTGCATTAAAATTGTTTAAAACCAGATAATACTAAGAACGTGATTATTCTTCTATGTAAGAACATTGTTAATTATTCTTCTATGTAAGAACATTGTTAATTATCAAGTGTCTGTTTAGATCATCTCTCTATTATTTTCTCTTCTCCTTATATGCAGAAGTTAGACCAAACAAGTTTAATTGAGAACTTTTATAATAAAAAAAAGTTTTTTTTTATAATGAAAAAAAAAGTCAAAAGCCAAAAGCTTCTACGAGGAGCTTTGATTAGCTTTTCTTGAAAAAAAAAAATTTCTTAAAGCTAAAACTTTTATATAATTATAATGATCACCTAACAGCTTTTAATTTTTTCTAAGCTTTTTTTTTAAATAATGCTCTTTTTTTTTTAAATTTTAACTTAAAAGTAGTTTTTGTTGGGAACTCGGTTCCCTCAAGCTCAGCTAAGAAGCCTTTGTGCAGAAGTCAATCAACAAGATCTTGATCTGGGATCTCGGCAATACATCGGCCTGAACTTCACCAGGTCGGGCAGCGCAGAGGAAAAATCAAAACGAAAACAGGAGAGAGAAGAGAAGAAGAGAAAGAGAACACAAGAAATTTTTAACGTAGAAAAACCTTCTCCAATGAAGAAGTAAAAACCCGCGGGACCTAGTCCAGATCAGAATCCACTATGAAGATAATGGTTACAAATAATCAAACTCACCAATGTGGTAGTTAACTCAACCTTTCCAACAATGGTGATAATCAAACCTCCCTAGAGATGTTTCACTCAAACTCTTTAGAGATCTCTCAAATACAAAGCATAAAGCTTTGCTCAAATCTCTCAAATAATTCTCTTAAATTTTCTCTCTAATCTCTTAACCTAGCCTCTACCCACAACTAATGAATATATATAGGAGGTGAGATCTAGGGTTTAGGGTTTTTAGGATACCCCTCAATGGGCTTGGACTTAGCATTGAAGGAGGAAGCCCAACAAATCTCCCCCTCCGACTTCAATGCGTAGGCTTCAGCATCAGCCCGACTCCTTCATAGCAGTCTTCAAATTTCTTTGCTGGAACCGGCTTTGTCATCATGTCAGACCAATTTTGGTCAGTGTGCACTTTGACAAGTTCGAGCTCTCCATCTTCCACCATATCCCGGATCCAGTGATACCTCAAATCAATATGCTTAGTGCGGGAGTGATAGGTTGAATTCTTCGCAAGATGGATTGTGTTTTGATTGTCACAACCTAGCTCGTACTTGTCTTGATCATGACCGAGTTCCATGAGGAACTTCTTCATCCACAACATCTCTTTGCTTGCCTCAGTCGCGACAATGTACTCAGCCTCAGTTGTCGATAGTGCAACACATTTCTGAAGTCTTGATTGCCAAGAGACAGCTCCTCCGGCAAATCTCATCATGTATCTGTCGTCGATTTTCTCGAGTCGGAATCTCCCCCTAAATCAGAACCCGAGTAGCCTTGCAACTCGACTTTGCCTTCTCCAAATCGGAGACATAAATCGGTATTTCCTCAGAGGTACTTGAAGATCCACTTCACTGTTTCCCAATGCTCTTTGCCGGGGTTTGACAGATACCAGCTTACCATTCTAACAGCAAACGCCAAGTCGAATCTAGTGCAAACCATCGCATACATCAAGCTTCCGACGGCGGATTGGTACGGGACCTCCATCATCTCATCTTAGTCTTCATCAGATCTCGGACATTGCTTCTGGTTCAGCTTTATGTGTCCGGCTAGGGGGGTGCTCACTGTTTTGGCTTTGTCCATGCTTAATCTCTTCAATATCTTCTCATTATACTTCTCTTGACTCAGCCACAGTAGCTTCTTTTGTCTATCTCGGATAATCTTGATTCCGAAAATCTGCTTTGTAGGGCCGAGGTCCTTCATTGCGAAGGACGAGCATAACGCCTTTTTCAGGGCGGCTATCCTCGATTTGTCTTTCCCTACAATAAGCATGTTGTCAACATATAACAACAATATCAGAAAATCTTCGGTCTCATACCTCTTCACACATACGCAGTGGTCGGCTTCTGTCTTCTCAAACTTGTGATCAGTCATGAATGACTCAAATTTCTTGTACCACTGTCGAGGTGCTTGCTTCAAGCCATAGAAGCTCTTCTTCAACTGACATACCAAGTCTTCTTGATCTGTAGCTCAAAACCCCTCAGGTTTCTCCATATATATTTCTTCTTCTAAATCACCGTGAAGAAATGTCGTCTTCATGTCCATTTGTTCTACCTCAAGGTCTATCGAAGCTACCATGGCTAACACGGTTCGGACTGAGGTCATTTTCACCACAGGAGAAAAAATCTCCTCAAAGTCAACTCCTTTCTTCTGATTGCAGCCTTTACTACAATTCGGGCTTTGTATCTCGGCTTCTGCCCATTCTCTTCATTCTTAATCTTGTAGACCCATTTATTTATCAAAGTTCGTCTTCCTTCAGGAAACTCAGTCAGCTCATAAGTCTGATTCTCGTGCAAAGACTTCATCTCGTCTTGCATTGCCTTTTCCCATTCTTCTTTCTCTGAGCTCGCCACAGCCTCATCATAACTCTGAGGCTCACCGTCTTCAGCAACAACGATGTATTCATCAGATGGGTATCTTGTAGAGGGTCTTCTTTCTCGAGTTAGATATCTCGGCTGTTCTTCTGCTTGAGAACCCGGTTCATCATTCTAATCCCGGATCTCATCATCAACTCGGACCTCAGTGTCTTGGTCATCCTCAGCCGGTTGCTGGTCATCAATTTCTTCATTTTCATGATTTTCTCCCCCTGCTTCAGCTCGGACAGGAGGGTTGGGTTCTTCACTTCTGACAGTAACTCAGACTTTGGGCTTCAAGATGTCATGAATGTTCTCATTTTCATGAAAAATCACATCTCGGCTTCTCACTATCTTCTTATTAATTGGATCCCAAAGTCAGAACCCGAACTCACATCTCGGCGAACCAAGATAGATGCATTCTTTAGTTTTCGCATCAAGTTTTGCCCTTTCATCTTTAGGGATATGCACGAAAGTTCAGCATCCAAACACCTTCAATTGATTATAGGCCGCTTTCCGACCTGTCCAGACTTCTTCTGGAATTTCTCCTTCAAGTGGTCATGATGGTGAGAGGTTGATCAAGTCAACGGTAGTTCTGACGGCTTCTCCCCAGAATGATTTCGGTAACCCGGCATTGGATAACATGCTTCATACCTTCTCTTCAATTGTTAGGTTCATCCTC